GCCGGGGGCGGCTTAGCGTACTGATGGCACTCTAGCCGCGCCGCCCCCCACGGCTCGGCGTAGCGAATGAGTTAAAGTTTGTATATATCTGTCATGAAGAAAAATAAGAATGATAGGTAATTTTGGATTTATATATATATATATACATATCCATGTTTTCTCCATTTTTAGTGCCATTTGCCATTGTTTTATTCTTTCACTGATGTCAAAGTATAATCAATTGCCAGCTAGAAACAAAGCTATAAGCAGCATGCATCTATGAGAGAATGGTTTTAGTTTTATTGGGGAAGGGGAAGGCTGTTTGGCCTGATTTTTTTTTATGTACAGACTGATGTTTATTAAATTTATTTAGGTGAAGTAATGAAATGACCTGGTGAAAGATTATGCACTGAGAGGTCCACTGCATGAAATTTAAATCAATCTCTGTCTGTCTGTCTCTCTCTCTCTCTCCAATTTTTTTTAGTTGTTGCTTAAATCACACCAATTGCCATGCTTCTTGTTCTCTTTCATTTAGCAATTCAAAATTCCTCTGATTTCTTTCCTGGTAAGTTATCAAATTCAAAATTCTACTGATTTCTCTCATGGTAAGTCATTTGTTTCTGGGTGTTCTAATCTATTGTCTGCTGGAGTAATAATATAGTGTAAAGCGCATAGAGCTTGCTTTCGAGTGGGAACATTCGCTATACAAATGCTATTTATTATTATTATTATTATTGTTACTTTCTATGTCCTCCCGACTCCCCAGCTGACGTACTTGCTCAAGCATTTGACGTTCTCAAGACAGAGCTCAAGTCTGACCAGGCTAAGGAATACTTCCTCTACTATCAGGCCACCAATGTGATCACAGCATATCTCAAGCCTGTCAATAAGGTACAGGGCACCTCACACACAACAATGAAACTGATCAGGCTTGAACGTCAGATTAGGCATGATAAAAAGTTTAAGTCAGAGACATCTGCTTGTCCGTTAGAGTTCCACATTGCAAATAAAAGTAGGTACCAGAAACTAAATTTTCAAACTAGCTGTATGCCAAATTTATCTGTTCCATTTGAAAGGCCTATATCCACTGAGCATTTTGGTACCATTCTTTAACCTCTCAGTCAATTTTTAAGAAAATTTTAGTTATTTAAAATTTGATCAAATTTGTTAAAGTCAGTTTTACTGGCTGCAACCCCATGTTTGACAGACAATAGAAAAAGTACCAAGTGCACTAAACATCTCCACATTAACAGAGTACAATCACTATAACAAATATATGGAGCCTAATTTTTTTCAAGACTGTGAGATCTTTAAAAATCAGTATTTTATCGCCTCTAACATGATGATCTGTCGTTATTTCGACAAAAACACCGAGCGTTGACCCGGTGGCGCCGCACCGGCCCCCGCGGCGAGAGAGTCGGCTCTATACTGTAGTGTACCCCGCGTGCGGGGTCACATGCTTTCCGAGTCTCGCGGAAGGATTGATGAAAAATAATTCCAAGTTAATAACTTTATTTTAGTAGAAAATGAACTGATCTTTTAATTGATACATGTTATAAGTCGGTATTATACATATTTTGTGTAAAAAGGGATCTTTCAACATTTTGACGGTATTTTTAAAAGCTTTCTATAAAGACGCCAAAGGCTAAACTTATATCGCGGGAAAGCCCGTTTAAAGCTCTACAGTTCTCCGCCAATGAAAAGACAGTATTTAATCATCCCTCGTTCCGCGAAAGCATTTGAATGCACGCGTGTCAATTTTTCAACCGGCCGACCTTGCATTCCGACCACGAGGGGCTTCGCTTTCGTCGTCGATTCTCCAGCTCCTAATAATCGGACATATAAACAACTTACACCATTGTAACGAGGAAAAGCTGAACTTTTACAAGGTGTACGGCATTTGGTGTTTTACAGCGAAAGAGCAAAGAAACAGCGATCGGAATTACCCCGATTTTACCGATACCACGCGGTCGGAAGGCCGCGAGTGCCCGCGAGGCCGTGTTTACGCTACCTAATAAAAGGTTCACACAATTGACTTCCCTTTGTTCGTTTATTTCCAGCTAACCTAGTTTTGGTGAATTTTTGAATAATATTTTGCCATTGATGTATTAGTGTATTTGTGCATAAAATCTTTGCTGTAAAGTGCGATCTTTCTGTGAGTAGTGGAAGGGGGATCAACTCAAAACCATATTAAAGATTCATCAGTTTGTATTCCACTAGCCCACTTCCTATACATTCAATATGTGTAATAGAACAATGAACTTGTACCAAGGACTCAATAGTTGCCCTTCCACTGACTATCCGCACATCCCCCATCTCCCCCTCAGACATTTATCCCTGTCGCAGTGGACGTACAGCTCCAGATGTCAGCCGACTCCCCATTCCAGTCAGGCTTCCTGGACAGCTGTAGTAACGAGACCTGGTTCCGGGCGGTGGCTCTGCTCATACGAACACCGCTGCAGGACATACGCATCTTGGAGAGGCTCAGCATCATACTGCAGAAGTTGTCTAAGCTCAAGTTAGTTCCCCTTGTTGTGTCATATATAGTGAAAGTTATTTTTGTCTGTTTGCTATCTGTGTTACTTTTCGTTCACTAAATGACAGTAAAATTTGTGATATATGCTTTTCTTTATTTCCTCTGAACATTTCACTGGCACAGTTTGCAAGCAGTGCTTTATAAAATAATTCCAAATATCAGCCTAACAGACCACTATGTGTGTGTAATCAAGTTTTTTTTATTTCAAGACAGTCTCAAGAAAAGGTCTTGTTTGATCTTTTACCTTGAAATATATCTCTGTCGGGAAGAAGTAACAGGAACTGGATAATTTACACTGAAGATTTTGTACAAATTGTTTTTTTGCTTTAAGTTCCATAACTTTATTTTCGAATAAGTGTTATTTTCTACTGATGCTGGACCGGAAGAGCGTGTATGTCCTTGTGAATGGAGAAGGCTGTAGTACTTGTAAAAAGTAAACAGGAATAAAAAAATTTGATCATAACTGAACTGTATCTTTTATTTTCAGAACCAATAAGCGTTTCTTTGAGATCTACACAATCGTGGCCATCATTCAAGAGATGTTGGTAGCAGGCGGCAACGACAGCGCGTTCCTCACCCTCAATCTCAAGTCTATCTTGTTCAACCTGAGTGTAGCGGTCAAGTCCTGATACAAGGGTTCGGAAGGTCATAAATGTCAAATGGATACCGAAAAAAGACAAATGTTGCTGTGGCCCAGTGAATAATCTTGGAAAAGACATAATGCCATCTTAAAACCTCTCTTGTGGAATCCTTCTGGATACACTCCAGAACAATAGGTACAGCAAAAAACAGTAGGCTACCCAAAATGGCTCCGATGTCCCGATTTTGGAAGATCTTGCACTTGTCATAACCCACAGTGAACGTTACCACTGTCTGTCGTTGGGGAGGCATACCATGACATTGGATTGTGTGGAAATTATACTTTCAACGCAAAAAGTTTAAAGAGTGTTAAAAGGTTGCTGGAAGGCCTACATTAAATTGTTAAAGTCAATGTAGACGTATGTCCTCAGAAGATAAGTGTAAGAACTTCATGCCAATAAAGCATCGGTTTGTCTGTATTATTGGGGACTGCAGACTGTGTGTGAGTTGACTGCCCATGGGATAGATCCCAGCTCTGACCAGCAGACGTGTGCGGTGTAGACTTGTCTGGTAGCAAGAATAGCTGAATCGTCATAGCAAGTTGCTGCCTCAGAATTACAAAGCTTTATCTGACAATTTTGGCAGTTTTGAATTATTAAGAATAGGACCATGAGGTCAGAACCATCAAAATCGTAAGATTATTCTGGGTCATTATCAAGATATTCAAAGAACTGCATTGAAAAAAGCTTTACATGATAATGATGTGAAATTCAAAATCTTTTTCGTAAAATTTCTCAAAACTAGGTACTGAGATATAACTTTGTAATTCTGAAGAAGCGAAGTGTTAACTCCAGTCATTCAGTTGCCCACAATGTAGGGGCCCATCTCTGGTTGTCTTTAGTATTAGCAAGTATCATCTGGTTGCTCTCTGTGACCAGCTTCATGTTTGTTAAGTTATTGTTACAAGTGAAAGGGGCACATATATTTGAAGTCTGTGATAACATGTGTACATTTAAGTACAGTGGGTGTCGCATTCTACAAAAAGTCGGCTCCGACGAGGCAATCCTTAATCCCCGATTTTTTCCTCTATATATCTCTTTGTAAATGTACGTCAGCTCCAACGAGGTTGCAAACAACCGAAGTCGCTTTCAACGGGGTCGGGATAACCAAATAAAAGCAATTAGCAGCCCCAAAAGCAAAGAATTTTTCTCCTTTCTCTCCATTTCACACGAAGCACAAGGCCTACCCTCGATTCCTAACACATTGTATTGCTAGATCTAGTGTGCCTCCTAATAATATGGGCCCCAAAGCCAAGAGGGTGGGTTAGGGTTGGCCTACGGTAGGGATGGGAGGGGGTGGGTGGGAACGCGATGCAGGCTGTGTGAAACTGGATGAACTCTGGATGGGTTGGTCTAGATCGAGACCTTCATTTTTTTCACTTTTCTTTTCTTCCCCTGATCAGAAAATCCAAGCTCCCGCCATTACTTTAAGTAGATCTAGGCCTAGATGTGAGAGGGTATGTTTCCACATGAGAAGCGACGGTCAGAAGACAGCTCAAACGCGCGCACACTGATGCTGTTTGAGATTTTCGTCATCAGGGGGAACACCTGTTTTAATAACTGGTATTGGTATTAGTACATCGTGTAATATAATAACTTGTCTCCTTTCTTTTCTTTAACCGTAGTCATGTTCAACGAGAGGTTGGATCCAACGAGGACAACAAGCCGGTCCCGGCAACCTCGTTGAATGCGACACCCACTGTATAAGTATTGTATGATTTTTGTTTTTTAAGATTTTAGAGACCATGACAGCATTCAGCATGATATTGTACTACAGTCGGGCACAGATAACAAGAATACGAAGTGAAGAATTCGAAACCACGGATAGCTCATACAATTTGTCATTCCCCTACTGATATCTCTTTAATTTTTCACAATCTGTTTACCTAAATTATGGATGTGTCACAAACATTTTTGTCAATCCCCCAGGTGTGTGTGCGAGTCATCCGTGTCCGACTGTATACCTTGGAACGGAACGTTATAAGTCAGAGTGGTTTGTTTGGAGGTCTCAATAGATTATAAGTGTGTTCACTGAATTGAAAAAATATCAAATTTATCCGTAAAGGAAGTAGAAAGAATGAATAAAAAAGTATGTTGAGTTTAAAAGGAAACGGTTTTTCCATGACACTCTTTCCAGGTTTACCTGTTAGTACTGTTACTACTAGGTTATTGGGCTGTGGGTGGTTGGTGGGTGCTGTTAAATGTTGTTTGCTCCTCCTTTCCTATCAAACATCTATCAACCTTATCCCTCTTCCTCCTTTTTATTTTTTTTTTTTTTTGGGTGTAACTCTCTAGTATCAACTAGTAATCATAGTAACGCCTCTAATCTTCGGCGCTTATTAAATGACCTATTAACGTAGCAAGTGCCATGAGACTCTTTGAAAAAACTAAGGTTATTGGGCTGTTTAGTATACGGCAAAATTCTACAGAGACGAGCTGCTTCGGCCCTGCCCAGGACCACCTTAGCATGTGTGGGAAAAATCCCAACTTGAAGAACTTATTATTAAAAGACAGAGAGATACTCTTTCAAATGCTTTCCCCTTTTGTGTTGCGACACAAGGGAATCAGGTGCTCGTCAATTTTTGGGCATGTGGAGTTATTGGTACCATCTTAACAGCTTGTTAATTTGTCTAGCTATTTATATAAGAAAAAATACTTGTCAATTTTTTTGCTATTGAAATTGCAGGAGCTGGGGTTGCCTGGTTTCAGAAGTAAAATTCGCGAGTAAATGGCCATAAAAGTTTGGTAACTTCTAAAGCTTTCGAGTCCTTGGAAACTGCAAATTTGCATTTTTTTGTGCCTTAAATCAACTTTGTACAGTAAAATCCACACAAAAGTGCATTTTTCAATGGACAGAAAAGATGTCGAGTCCAAAAACCAAAATTTGATGAAATTGCCCAACACTAACAGGCGGAAAAATGCCGGTTTCTTCATCAATTCCATTATTTTGACAAGCACCTGATTTCACCACACTGAGCAGAGGGTGTGCACTCTCTGTTTCTTCATGTTGAAATGTTCTGTTTATTGCTCCAGGTTTTTTATTGACTTATTCTGGTGGTACAGGTACTAATTACATGGAGCAGCATGGGCCTGTGTGCAGTGACTATATTAATTATTATAGTACATTGTACAGTAGTCTCCGCCTAAGATCCACTGCTTACGATCCCAGTTCGCTTAAGATCCCGTTTTTAAAAAACAGAATTTTTACTCCAAAAGCCTTAAAGCCCCCTCCCCCAACATTAGTATGATCCCGCTCTGAAGGTCTACATTCAGCTAAGATACCACATTCCACGTCATCATAATTTACAGATCAAAAACCTGCGCAGGCACGGCAGATCAACCAAAAGTGAAAAATTGCTATCATTGAACTGCCCGTTACGTCACAGATTAGGCACTCTCATGAATGTAATTTTACGTGCCTGTTGTAAATCTCAATGAAAGGGTACGATGCGCCAGACAGAATAACACTAAGATGTGGACTCAACACGTTTTTCCTCAAACCCAAGATGTCCACCTAAACTTGCATCGCTTGCTAGGTGGGTAGGGCCTTCAAGTTCGCTCAAGGTGGGATATGTAAAACTGAGAGTGAATTCTTTCCCGACCATTGCAGCAGTTGTCTCTGCTCTCAAATTTGCGAAAGAGACTGAATTTTAATTGTGGAGTGGTCACAACACAATTGTGCGTAGCAACAATTTTCAACAAAGGCAGGGGGAACTCAATCCGAGATGGATACCTATAAATTTTGGACAGATAAAGGAGAGGAGCAACTGGATGAGCGTAGATCTTGAGACTCACGATAGGATAACGGATAAGTGAAAATGGCATGTCTCATGTCAGTGTGATTGATCATCAAGGTTGACCATTCTTTTCTCGCCAAGTCATAAACCGATTAAACCCACCAAGGGGTCAAGTCAGTTCATTTTAGAGTAAAGGGAGACCATTTAACCGATGTGGGCCTGAACGTGGATCACTGGATTCTTCCCGTGGTGCGTCAGCTAAGATCCGGTATTTTTCTTGCTCCCGAGCACCAGGATCTTAGGCTGAGACAACTGAGCATGAAATCTTCTTTCCCTTTTGTGAGAAAGAGTAACATGTATTTTTTTTAACTTTCAAGTTCAAGGGATGGATGTGTGATGGGTATGGCCTTGTGTATAAACAAGACAATCAGCTTTCAGCTTGGGCAAGTAATAAACAAACTTTGAGAATGTCTGGGATGTTGTGTCAATTGTTTCCCATTGTGTTGGCTTCTCTAATTTTATCAGTAATTTCTCCACTGAAGTTCAGGTTTCAAGTTGTGATGAACAAGGTTGGCAGATGATGACAATAGAATAACGATAACATTTTTAAGGTGCATATCAAAGTTCTACAGTATGGTCTATGCACAGTAAAGCTATTATTTTTATTATATATACAAATGTATTACTATTACCCCGGCAGACCCTACCTGCAGCATGGCTCAGAAACAATCTCAGCTTCCTGGGAAGCACATAGCGGAAGCTGGGAATTACATTACATACGCTTAAAGTTTAGGGCGGCGGGAAAATAAATTTGAACTCTATAAATTTCTCCGAACAGTTTCCGTTCTCGAGATTTTTTGATAATTTGTGAATGGAGTGGCCCGCGTGCACGTGTGTGTGTGTGTGTGAGTGAGTGTGTGTGTGGCCTACGTTATTATTATCACGATGGCCACGGTGTGTGAGTATGTGTGTGACTAGCGTAAGGTGTGGGCGGGGTGGGATTTTTTTTGTTTTGTTTACATGAAGGATTTTAGTTTTTGCTTTGCGGTGACTAGAATCTAGATCTAAAAATGCAAATTCTCGCAATACCTTTTGAAGACATTTTCAAATGAAGTATAGAACTAGTCTGGGAAAGTTGCCCCAATCACAACTGAAGAATCTGAACATTCAGACATTTATAATAAATCTCTAGTCTAGAAATTGAATTCGATGCAAAAAATGCTTCTTCCCAGTCCTTGCAGAATGAAATGAAAGATGACGCCTAAATCTCGCAAATAACCCAAAAATCTCGAGAAAGGAAACCATTCGGAGACACAGAGATCAAGTTTCGTTCGGAGAAATAGCCACTTTGTAAAGTTTAACCCTATCCATACGTCGTGTTTTATTATCATATCAATACGCTAGGGAAACTCTGCGCCACCACTTTCTTGGAAGAGGAAATTTACTCGTTAATTCGATCCGTACGCTTTGCACTTTGCATAGCAGTCTGTCAAAATGATTTTTTGAGAAATACTAAAAAAGTTTCAAAGAGATCTTCATACTAGAAGTATTCTTTAAAAAATGGGAAGAATACAACCTCGCGACCCCAAGACGTACAGATAGGGTTTAAGTAAAATACTAACAAACTGACAATAAGGTAGGACTACCAGCAAAAGGTTTGTGTTGTGGTTCTCTCATTTGGGCAGCTAAAACCCTGGTCAGTCCAATTTATCTCAGCAGAGAGTTACACCTAGATAAAGGAACTAGATAAATCATATTCCCAATGTAGAAAATGGACTTGTTCTCTTGTATGAAAGGCAAAAACTTTACTATTGCAGCATAAATGCCAGCTCATAGGGCATTCTACAAAAATGAACTACAGTAGACTTTGTTTACAAAGCCGTTTAACTCACAAAATTCATGTGACTGCAAAATGGTTTCAAATCCCCCAAAGTTTTTTTCACCATTTTTTTCCCTCTATTATTCTAAGCATTGCAAAATTCCCCGAAATGAAGAATTTCTCTAATCTCATGAATTTCGTGTTAAAGGGGTAATATAATATTATACTAAATTCAATCATGTTGAAGCACAAAAGACAAAAAAAAACATTCAGACACAACATATAATTTAAAGATTTAATCTGTTATTTAATTTTTATTGATGTCATAGTTTTATCATCTTTCACACATGATACATTTCCAGCAGTCACAAAAGCAGTATTCATGCAGTCTGCAGACATCCATTTTGAGTTTGAGCTACGAGATTGACAGATCACATTCATCAGACCATAGGCTGACCGCAGTACACAAAGCAGCACATAACTGACACCAGGAAGATGGTCCATCGTACTCTACTACTAGTACTAGTACTTTCTCAAGTTCATCAACATAAAATTATAGTTAGTTGCATTATCATCAACCTTTTGAGCCCTTGCCACCGGTAGACAGGTGGCGCATGATACTGCCTGTATGCCTAGCTACCTAGACACCGGTTAGGGAGACCTTACCCCCAACCCGGCAAGCCTGGGACAAAATACCTATGGATAACAGTGTTTACCACACAGGATGTTTAATGTTGATTATTTTGAAGATCTTTCTGAATTAGACCCTGGTAATGACAAGGACTACCCTGAGTGGGACAGAAAGTGATTCTGATGATCTTATGGATTTAAGTAATATATATATGGTTCAGGCAGAGGGGCACGGTAGCCTCAAGATGTCATGGCTCAAAGGGTTAACAGCTGATGCAAAACGTATATGTGCACAAACACCATACTCAAGCTGCAATTAGTTCAATTAGGAATAGGACAGATCTTCCTCGTGTTACTACTTTGTGTAAAGAGAAACGCATCAACAAAATAAATGGCAATTGATTTACAGCAAGGGAAAAAAAGAAACAACACGGGGACAAAAAAAAATATAAAAAGAAGGGAACCTATCCTTAGCGCCCTCCAACCACCCACTCACACACAACTCCTCATGACATCAACATTTGTCCCTGTACATCACATGATGCTTGAATGGCCGTTACTTGTCTGGCACCAAAACCACTCACCAATGTGGGAATACATAACAATACATTATTACACATTTCAGTTTGCAAACTTAGTTAACAATTTATATGTCAGCCCACCTGGGCAGAGAAAGATACAACATCCCAGCACACAAACCCAGAAACCGTACTCAATAAAAATCCTCCCCGTTTGGGAATCAAACTCAGAGTCAGAGGTCTTCTGTGTGTGACGCCAAAGCACCTACCTGCTACATCTATAGAGAGAAAAATGTACTCTGAATCTGAAGTCTTTATTTGGTCGAAAAGATAAAAGAAATTTGTTGACCCTATGTCTCAGATAAAATCCGACCAGAATTGGTTTGTTGTTAGTAAAAACAAGCACATTGACACATTCACGGTCATTTGGTATGCCTACCTGAAAAAGGCAAGACAAAAACAACAGAGATAGTGAATGGGAAGATGGTGCTCTCCTACCACCCACAGCCAACCATGGACAAGAGCATGAACTAACCTTCTACCCTAATCATAGAGACATTAGACTTAGCTTTAATTCACAAACAAAAAGAAGACCAGATTTCTCATTGCGAATAATACAAGAAACCCATCTCATGAAGCACAAAAAGGCATTAGCAAGTTAATTATACAAGCATGGCAAACCATGTGTTACAAGACAGTGGAAACAGGCGCCCATATAGTAAATTATTGGTAACCTTAAAGCCCATTCATTTACCTTGCTTTTAACGGAAAAAAATACTCATTTATCTTGAATTTGAATAGAAATTATTTGTGAATGAAGTTAAAGGTGGTTGGGTCGCCTGACGTCAGAAGTAAAATTGGAGAAAATGGCTGCCAAATTTTGGTGATTTCATATTTCAAAAGCTTGAGTGTTCTTGGAAGCTGTCTGTAAATGCGTTTCAAATGGACATAAAAGATGCTGAGCCCCCCCCCCCCCCCCCGAAAAAAAAATGTTGATAACAATTGCCCAACAGGTGGAAATAAACCAGTTTCTTTGCTTTGCTTTGATTATTTTGATCAGCCCCTGATGTCGCCAGGATGTAACACTATATTATATCACTTTTATTTAAACAAAAAAGATAGCAAATGTTTTAGACCTCATCCCCACAGATATAATTTAGGATCACACTCAAAGGGCCAGTTGCTTCGACCCAGCCAGTCTGGCAAATCTGGGCTAAGTGGAACACCACACCCTAGCACTAGCAGATAGACTAGACACTCGTAAAGTAAGCTTCTCATGGCACGACTCAAACTCACAACGACTGTGTGCATCTGTGAAAAGTCAGAAGTGCCTAACCAATATAAATACAAGACAAACAACAGTCAAGGATAGCTGGCATTACAATGGAATGCTGACAATACACATGTCGTATGGCATTATAAGTACAACTGACACAAAAACAGGAAGGGCTCCTCGCCAAAACCCACTATTTTAAATCCAATTTTCTTTGACTGAGAAAACAGGAAAAATTATTACTGTTAGTAACACTAGTGCTAGTCGTGTCAACATTTTTAATTTTAATAAAGACTTTTTTTAACACTACAGAATCAGTCAAAAACAAAGTTTTGTGGGGAATGTCTGTTGGAGCCAGGGTGCAATTCAGAGATAAAAAAAAAATTTCTAAACCAATGTTGGTATTTAAGGTTTCAGACGTGGAGCCCAACATTATTATCATTATATTCACTTTTAATTAAGAAATGGCAAAATTCTTTGGCACATGCTCCTCAATCATGTCTTTTCACATAGAGGAAAAAAAGGACAAAAACACCACCTTTTGCAAACCAACACACACAATTCAGCCCTTTCTTTACTTTCCATGTCAAAATTTTAAAGAACCAACATCAAAATTTTTCTGTTTCCCACACTCATTCTCAAAAGAAGTCATTTTTAGAGGGATGGGTGGAGATGGCCCAACAAGATCAAATATCTGTCCCACACGAGAATGGATCTCACCTTTTTTTTCCTGTAATGCAAAGAACCTAACACTACCAGTCAGTAGATGACCAACATCAGTTTTTTTTTAATAGAGGTTTTACCGCGCTCGCAACTGCATAAGGTCATGTGAGCGCCAAGGGGTGGATGTCAACAGAGAAGTCCTTACAGGGAATCACACTTACTCAGCCCATCTCTCTAGCTTCATTAGTTTAGTTTTTTAGTTTAGTAGGGATTTTTCGGCGCTCGCAACTGCATAAGGTCATATGGGTGCCAGAAGATTAGAGCTGTAACAAGAGAGTAACAAACATAAAAAAGATGAAGGGGAGATAAGGACGATAGATGTTTGATAGGAAAGAACAAGCAAACCATACCAGAGCACCCGCCAACCACCACTCTCTAGCTTCAACAGCACAAAGTCTGCTTGGACTATAAAGGCATCCCGGAAATAGTGGGTCACAAGAGTGAGACAAACATAAAAAGAAGTAGAGGAAAATGACAATTTTAAGGATTAGGGAAGAAAAAGCAGCAGTTCCCTGTTGTAGATCAGGCATAGTTTAGAGCATGACATTGATGAATCAGCCCATTTAAAATTCTACTGTGCATGAACGAGAAAAGTCCCCCCTTTTGGAATGGCCTAAAAACACTTCAGTCAGTAAATTCTCATGAGGGACGTCATCAAAGACAAACTGGACATGACAGATTAGATGCTGACAAACTATTCCCACTAAAAGTTAAGAAAATTAAATCTAACAGACTAAAAGTTGACAAATTACAATACTGATGGAAGCAATGAACAAAATCGAAGCTAACAGCAACACTAACAAGAATTTTATGGAAACGTCACTCTGCACTCAGTACATGGTGTACATAATTATGGCACATGTGTCTCCTACCATGAGACAATGTTTTTCGGTAAAAAGGTGTACATGTACACTTTGTTGCAAAAGAAGCAAAAATAATACATTTGTTGCTAAAAATAGCACACTGTGATCAAAGATCAATCCCAATACTCAACATGCCTTGCCTTCTAGAAACAAACTTGCAACGTTCGACTGCATCTTTACACTACTCCTTACATTATTAAACAAGAAGTCAGTCAGTACTGTCAGACATAGCAAACATTCATTCATAAAATGTAGTGGCTAATACTTAAGATAATACATGTATAAATCACGACAAAATTTTTGGCTTTAAAAGGAAACAAATATGAAAATGAAAGCACAGATTACACTTTTTTTTTCCTTGCATACATGAAGCATTCATTCCCCTCAAATGACTGACTGAACACATCTTTTTAATGAAATGGAGGAGGGGGGCAGAGCAGTAAAGACCCGCTTGTAATATAATGTGCATGCTTTTCTATGTTATTTGTTGACAATGATTAAGACTCTAATATATGTTAAACTTTCATTCAAATGGATGAGTTTGTAACAGACATTATAAAGAAAAAAAGGCAAGCTTTACAAGTATAGATATTCACATGTTGCTGTTTTACAACTGGAGGCAGGTGGGACAATTTCCTGCATCACAACGCTGTGGGTCTAGTCTCATCAACTAGGTATGTGACGGAAAATTGCAATTGTAGTAGAAAACCTAATGAACACGGAAATGACGCGACAGGTTTCTGTGCAGTAGCTTTAACAAATCAAGCAACACAAATCTTCTTTGTCTTGGCATCTTTACCAATTGATCTATAAAATTCAAAAACTTAAATCAGCACCATTTCTAATATAATGGGTACCAGGTAACCTGAGTAACCATTATGATAACCAAAAAGACTGTCGATATTTTATCACACAATGACAATTTAAATCATCCGAGAGGCCAGATGCATCTACCTTGTCTGGAAGTGCCAATTCTGAGTTAGAAACAGCATCTCAGCATGGCAGTCAGGCTGAGACACTTGATAAAATAACTTTTACATAAAGGAAAATTGAACTAATGTCTACTGCTTGCAGCTTGTGCTAGTGGAGAGCTTGTAAACCATTACATCATAGGATAGGCACCAGTATTCTCATCCCATCATCATCAGATTCACTAACTTGTTAACCGGCAATGATAGAAATCAGTCTGTGATAATTGATGGACAAAAAGCCGGGAAAGGCATCCTCTGAACACAACAGAATGGTTTCATTGATATTTTGGGTTCTGGAACAAAAACGGACACAAGTTTATTTTTAAAAGCCACGCATTTGTCTATTAATCTATGATTTGTGGCCACATCTCCAATCCATTTCCTTTTCAGAAGTTAACCTTCTATGATTTGTAGCCATATCTCCAATCAATTTCTTTTTATCTTTCAAAGACGTCAAATGAAATGCCCTATATTCTAATAAGGAAAAAAAAAAATACCAGTATACACACAAGTAGATACAAAACAGCTTCTCTATTAAGTTTGATTAGAAGTATTTTGTTCATCTTAGCTTCACTCTGAAAATTCACTGAATTTGAGGAAAGATTTCAATTTGTTGGGCAAGGGAAGGAGGTCCACATTGTCATCCACAGACGGCGGGAGCTGTGAGCGAATGGCTATTCTGCACCAGTCAGACAGCGACAGAACAGGAAACAAAAGCTTGTGCAGTAACGGCCTCACCCGAGGATAACTACTACACAAGGAGATACGCTTAAGTTTTATGGAGAGAAGAGGTAGTTTAGGTCTGCTGCCAGCTTTCACAAGCAACTTCCACGCTAACAACTCAGGGTTGTCCTCTTGAATAATCTCTGGATTTTCCAGAAAACCTTTTGAAAGACTGAGGGAAACTAATTCTGACATTTCTTCATCACTGACAGTTGCTCTGTACGACAGTAGAAGTCTGATCTTTTCCACAGAGTTATGGACATAGGCAGAGATGATAGGCTTGCTCTTTTTTCCTCCTCGCGCTTCATTGGCATCTGCCCCATTCTCCAGCAGAAGCTTCATCATGCTGGCAGGAATGTGGGATGTGCAGGCTGCGCATCCAAGCGGAGTCCGTCTGTTCTGATCCATCCTGTTCACATCCATGCCCAAATCCAGGAATTCCTTGACCAAGCTCATGGTGCTGAACAAAACTGCCGCGGGTAGCAACGTCGCTTGGGTGGGACAAGCACCCGCCTTCAGAAGCACCTTGCAGATCAGCACTGGGGGAAAGCCGTCATCTTGCCCACAACTTCCAACGCCATTTTCACCATTCATAATGTCAGTGTTCCAAAAATACCAGCCTTCTGAGGCTAGTCTGCAAGCAATAGAGAACGGTGTGTCACCATAATTGTTTGATACATTCACGTCGCAGCCCGCCTTTATCAAGATGTTGACAAGGCTGACTTGATCGTTCAAACAGGCCAACAAGATGGGAGAACAGCCTGAGTCGTCGACTGCATTAATGTTCGCACCATGGGCAAAGAGCTGCTCCAGAATGAGGCCGCGTACGTACGGAAAGTCGTCTGAGCAGCATAGGTGGTGCATGGCTGTCATGCCATCAGTGCTCCCTGCATTCACATCTACACCCTGTTCTAACAGTGAGATAACCTGAGGACGGTCAGCCATTTGACAAGCCAGGCTGAGCTTGGACATTCGGGGGTCGTGTTCTAGTGTCCCTATGACCGGCTTATTGGCCAGTATGTCGTCCAGGTCCATGGCACCCAAGTCCATGGCATTGATGTGGTCACTCAAGCTGCTCGAGTCCACCATGGCCATATCGGGATCAGGCAAACTCATACACAGGAACAACAACCCTCTCTCAGGACTCAATCATCCACCAGGGCAAACACCATCTGAATGAAAGAGAAATAAAAGAGAGAAAAACTTTATAATATAGTCAAGCGCAGATAACACAAATGCAACTCTAAATCACTGATAGCTTGTACAATATGCCATTTCCCGACTGAACAGTGAAATTTTTTTGGTTTGTATTGGCAACACTATTTTCTCAAACACCCATGAAAAGGCTATGTCAAACAGCTGGTCTTGAAAGAACAGGATCAAATTTTCCCTCACAATTGTCTCGAATTCAAGTCACCCTGCAGCACGAAGCAAAACAACAGACCCATCATCATCAAGTATGTAAATCATGTTACATGAGCCCACCAGCCTCACCCCCGCACAGCGTGATACACACATTAGCTGTAGTGTGTGTAACACATTATCTGTGTAATGTGTGCAGAACTCTTTACCTCCCTTCAATCTATATGAGGGCGGGTGCTGGGTGGTAAGGACAGTGCTGCATTGCATTGGGCAGTATGTGTGAATTATATTAGCGTTTCTGTGAACGTATGTGCATGCATGTTGATTGAACGTGTTGGTAGGCCCTATGGATCCAGAAATGATTACAACATAAGAAAGGTGGGTGCCATGTTTTGACCAGTGCTGGCTGCATCGTTTTGACCATAATTAATCCTTATTTGAAGTAAGACCAAGGTATTATTTCCTTTTTTTATAGTTGTAAAGCTCATCAGCATCACTGAACAAAACACACTGCTAGTATCAAGACACATCATCACCAGGGGCGGTTTGTTAACTGGGCAAATTTTTGTCAGCTCAACTGTTGACAAGAAATTTATTGCTAATGATGATTTTCATTCAGTTTTAAGTAAATCCGAAAAAAACAGGTATCAACATTCAAAAAGCACCTAGCCGATTTGAAGGCGTTCAAATACACAAGTGGGATTCACTGCTGTTTTGTCGTGACACAGCCTCATTCTTTCACCTTTGATTATCACACCAGCTCGTAACTTTAAATCGTCTCCCGTCAAGCCGTCACGTCGCAGAACTTCGTACGAGGACAAACGAACGCGGCGGGTACAGCGATTAAGTCAATCCACTGGACAAATCCATCGACTGCCCTAAGACTACTAAGAGCGAATATACCATCCCTTGATTGCCAAATTGGCCTCCGTGTTGCTTACAAAATCAGTAATGAGACTGTCTTGAGTCTTGAGCAGCACAGACACATGAAATATTTTATCAGCTCAATACGACATGTACTTATCATCCAGCCTTTCTCTACTATCATCAGAACATTTATTGTCAGCATGGCATTAATCTTATTGAATTTTTAGCCACCTATAGTTAATGTTTGGTGACTATCCATTGCTTTCTCCCCACTAATAATGTACCTGGCCCATATGAGTCTAGCCAGCGAAAAGAGGAATCGTCTAGTGAAGATATAGAAGGAGAATTATAACGAGGAGCGATAGGCTCTCGGCTGTCAGAGTCTGGGCCGAAAACAATGGGCCTACCCCCTCCCTTCCCTCCCCTTATCCACCGCCACCCCAGCTAGACACCAAGTTCTATAATTAGCATTTGACACACTTCCCCACTTTGTTACCAGTGTTCTGAGAACTGAGATGAACGTTTGATTACATAATGATGGAAAACTGTTGTGTGCTAACTTTGTCCAGCTTTGTATAGTATCTGATTGTAGACTTAATCTGCATGGGACAGCGTCATTGGTACAATATCAATTGACTTTTTGCCATCATAGAGTACTAGATGTTCTTGTTACATATTTACAGGTCGAGTGCAGGTCGATATTGTGTGTGGGAGTGTACAAATTTAGTAGAAAGTAAAAGTCTTTGGTTAAAGTACCAGAGGCCATGACCAGCAGTTCATTGCGCTTCTCACTTTCAGTTTGTTTTCCTGCATAGACTCTAGTAGTGTTTCTTTTTCTATGCCGTTCAAGTCAGTTTCTATTAACTCAGTAACTTCCATCATACATTAATCGTAATATTGTTTCTTGACACTACCATAATTATTTCAGCTCTTTCAAATTTATACTAAAATGTTTACAGTGCTGTGTGTGTGAGTGGGGGAGGGGGTGGGGTTGGCGAAAGTAGGGGTATAAAATGAGGAAAGAGAGAGAGAGAGAGAGAGGGATAGAGAGAGAGAGAAAGAGAGAGAATGTGTTTGTGCGTGTGTGTTAGTGTGTTTGTGTGTGTGTGTGTGTGTGTGTGTGTGTGTGTGTGTGTGTGTGTGAGTGTGTGTGTGTGTGTGTGTGTGTGAGTGTGTGTGTGTGTGTGTTGTGAAGGAAGGGGCTGATGGGAGGAAAAAAGAGTCTTTGTGAATGATGGCCGGTCAGTTCTATAAACCACGAGCCGCCATTGATCATCACATATTACAATGTTAAAGCTTGTTCACTTTCATCTGACTGCGATTAAAACAAGATAACATAAATTCACTCTGTTCCATCTTCTCGGATCTTTGCATACGTGTATAAAAGTCGGATGACCAGCGCATTCATAAAAGTCATTGCAAACTAAGGTTGACACGTTTTCTTTGACGAAAGCCTAAAGCAGGTTAAAAAAATTATAGGGTATTTACATCATACACCTAAAACATTTAAAAGTCGACATATTTTCCTCATCACCACCTTTTAACTTTCCCCAGAGAAACACAATTCAAGAGACGGGGCGAATATTTTTCGAGACTAACGTGGAGATGTCTAAACAGCCGGGGGATGAAATCGACAAGCTTACACTGAAATGTGGGGGCAGGGCGGTGTCTCTGTCTCAATATGAGCAATTTGTAGGCAAGGCTACTGTAAGTTACAGTAGAGCACACCTATAAAAAACACTCTTGTAAAGAACTGACGGAAATAAAGAACACATTTCTTTGCCCCGTTTTTTTCTCTTTGTGTCGTTTCTATTTTGATGCATTTAGCAAACATACGATAAAGAACTGACGGCTGTAACGAACCAATTTCCTTGCCCAACAAGTCTTTTTCCCTCTTATTTACATCTGAAGTAGTAAAGAACCAGCCCATCTCTATGAATTGACCGAACCAAGAGTTGCCCAACAGACACGCGAATCTCCCTACACAGTGACCACACACTGTCCACACACTATTGGCACAAGCCGATGGCTGACCAAATGGATTCGCATCATTTTTTCTTTGTTCGGCGAAGCCCCTAGCCTGGGGCCTGGGGTGGGGGGAGGCTCAATTCAATTTTTGGACATTGACACTAGTGTGAAAACAGCAGTGCTTTCCGATGCTGAAATTGTTGAACAAGTGAAGGAAGCTTCTACTTCTCACACAGACAGTGAAGACAATGAGCAGATAACTGTGACTGTGACAGTGACAGTGAGCTTCGCGGAGGCAGATCAAAGTGTGGAGAAATTGAGAAAATATTTCGTCGTCAATGGGGGGGGGGATTTTTTAATGTTCTTGGGAACATGTAAAGTTTTTCATGAATGAAGGAAAAAGGGAGAAGTAGGAAACATCCATAACTTCCTTTTTTCCTTCTCTTGGAAAGAAATAATTTACTGTACATGATGTAACATGTGTATACTATTCATATAAAACTGACTGAAAAGGACTGAGAAAAAAGTATGTTTGTGGGTGTATAGAGAAATTTAAAGAACTATTGATATAAAGAACTATTTTTACTGCCCGAGCTTGTTCTTTATATTATCAATGTATCACTGTACTAATTTTATGATTTTGCAGGTAATAGAGGGCCCCAGGAGAATAACTTTTTGATTACTGGGCCAACATTTTTTTAAAAAATATTTTTGTCTGTTCACTGGCCTGTAAAAGTGTCTAGCAAAGTTTCATGGACACAAATAAAATCCCCAATTGAGCTAGAATTTGTTTAATGCGGTCAGACAAAAGTGAACAAGCTACAGTAATCTCCGCCTAAACGCACGCCATACAAAAGCATGCTCCGCTCAAACGCACGCTTTTGTCTTCTGACGTTTTTTTCACTATATAATTTAGACGTACAAACGCACGGTCACTCCCTCTAAACGCACGCTCCGATCTGCGAAACACGCAGACAGGTAAAGCTTTACTAAGGGAAATTTTCACTACGACAAGCCTAGAAAACCTGGTATTTGGTGAGACTGCCCCTTACGCTGAACAAAGAGAGTGATGGACAGCGTTTTCACACCCAACTTTCCACTTACACATAGCCTAGGTCTGGTCGGTGAAATGTTGGGGGGATGGGGGGGACTGAAACGTTATTTGATTGGTCTCTGGAAATGCATCTCTTTTGAGAGAAAGTTTCTGACTGGTGTCTGAGAGACTGCGTGTTGGCTAATGTTTAGTTAGACCTAAGCCTATGATGCGCAACACGTGTGAATGCTCGTTCATGAATTTACGGTCGGGGGTGGTCGCTTGGAAAGCCACGGGGCTGGGCAGTTGTCTCTATGACTATCACCAACAATTTCTTTTCAGGCTATTGGTTCCCGACATTTTATGGTTCATTCATTACATCAAGTCCGTCTTTCTGCCCCCCCCCCCCCCCCCCACACACCCATCAGTCGGGGAATCTTTTACAAAAAAACATTATCAGCCAAAGTGACCCCACCCCAAAGGGAGGTAACTAGTATATCAAGACAATGAGAAGACTGCGTCCCATCCTCCATTTGCTGAGGTTCATGTAAACGCACGTTCCGTATAAACACACGCTAAGGAGCCCTCCCGAGCACTGTGCGTTTGGACGGAGACTACTGTATACCTGTGTGTGTGTGAGTTGTAAGGCATTAGAACTTCCATGAATCTAGTACAAGAAGATGGGTGCCTGATGGTGGGTTGTAATCAAAGTCAGACAGTGTTGCTCCGCATTGGGCCACAAGATGTGTGAATTGTTTGGGGTGGTGTGTATGTGTGTGTGATTGTTTGAACTTTAAAGAATGGACAGGGAAGACAATACAAAGAATTAACAGAAGGGATAGGTGGTTTGCTCTGACCAGTGTTGGTTACATCATTATGATCATGATCTGACATTATAACAGCAATTTCATTTTAGTTACGGCTTATCAATTTATCCCTCTT